TTGACAACAATACATCAAATTATATTCCCATAATCAAATATATAGTGTTATGAAACACATTTATGTTGCATTTAGCATCGTTTATATCCCTGCTGTCCATAAGCCTGTCAGAACAGAACTCATTTTTGGGACGCAACCCTTCAGTTTAGAACCTGTTCAAGTGTACAACTTGTGTGAGCAAGAGTTTATTTCGCCTTTGTTGTTTTGTGGGTTTTTGTGTTTTGGTCTGATGGGAAAGTCTGGAGTGCAAGTCCCCCACAGATTAGCCTGGTGTCGTTGTAAGAAAAAACAATTTTAAGGAGGAACCATGAGTCATTCTGGAGCCATTTCTCTCTCTGTCTCTCTTTCTCTTTCTTTCATCACACTACTCTTTCCTCCTCTTGTCTTTTCTCTCTTTCACAATCCTCATTTTGTTCACTCTTTTCTGTCTGCCACTTTCCTCTGTACTTCCTGTTTCTATTTCTCACTTGAAACTTAAATTTACAAATTAATTTACTTTCACATTCTCCATTCCAATCCATCATGTCTTGCAAAATTATTTACTCAACCTCCGCATGTCTTTCTAAAACTGTATGACCTTCACACTGATCACTATTTTCCATGCAGTTACAATAAACAGACTTCTTTCTTCAGAAAAAGCTTCAGAAAAAGGTTGCAAAAAAAGTGTCAAAAAGTGGTGCAAATCTTTTGTAATACTCTAAGCCTTCTGAAGTTTTCATTTCATTCCATTGTGTGAAAAATAGGTTGAAATTGAAGTTGTTACTCAAAAACAACTTAAAGGGGTCATAATAGGGCTGGACGATATGGCCAAAATTTATATCACGATATATTTCTTAATTTCGGTCGATACGATATAATTCCGATATCGATATGAACACTATTTAAAAAGCCTCATAAGAACGGCAACAACAGATGTCTGTACCTACAAACTTATGAAAAATTAATTTGCCAACTCTATGAAACCCACTCCTATAAAACTATATAATAGTTTAGGAAAAAAATGGCGCAAATAAATAAATGTTCACCTTTTATTGGTATTTAGCCTTCATACAAACAAGAAATGTGAAATCACTGTCAAATAAATCGCAGACTCTCCTTATTAATATTAATATTAATATTTTTTACTTCAAACTATAGGCTAACATACCAGTCAAAAGTTTTTGAACAGTAAGAT